GTTGCGGGAAGTATCCCGTTGGAAGGTCACCGTCTGATGATCATCAATCGTGCCGCAACACTGTTTCTCGGATTTAGTCGCTGCAGACCAATGTGACTGTTGCGTCATGAGAATTTTCAATCGTTCCAGGATGCCGTTCCTGCACTCCAGAATCGCGAATCAACGTGACTGTCGCGTCCTGGCAGTCGTAATTTGTGCCAGCACACCATCCTGGGACTTCAACCCTGCGTGCGAATCCCCGAGATTGTTGCACGTTTTGAGACGACTGCGCGCGGCGGTACGGCGAGAGCCACATTTTGAAAACCGCTCGCCCTCCATCCTTGAGACTGCTGCAAACCTTGAAGACACATGTGCGCGGCGCCAAGGCGAACGCCACAGTTTGAAAACCACCCGCCCTCCTTCCTTGAAGCGGTTGCAAACTTTTATGACGAATGTGCGTGGCGCAAAAGCGAGAGCGACGTCTTGAAAACCACCCGCTTCCCATCTGCGAAACTGCTACAATGATTTCTGGCGAATGTGCGCGGCGCTACTGCGATAACCACATTTTGAAAACCGCCCGCCCTCCATCCGTGAAACTGTTGCAAATGTCTTGCTTCAGGATCACACCGTGTTAGGAAGTCTCAGGCGACACGTCCAGCCCGCCCTTCCTCTTCCTCGTCCTGGTCCCTCACGCTCCTCCTCCTCCTCCTCCGCCTCCTCCTCCTCCTCGCCCTCTCGCCGACTCTTCGTCTCGCCGCTGGTCCTCCTCCTGCTCGTCCGCATCCCCCCTCCCCATCCCCACCGTCCCCCTATGCCTCCCCTCCGCGTCGATTCGGCAGTGTTGGAAGTGGATGGGGGCCCTGCACTTTCTGCACCACGCCGTCTCGTCTGTGCAGCGCGCTATCGGCGACCAGGTCACCTCACTGTTCCTCGACAAGCTTGTTGAAATGGTGTATGCCACTGTGTGGTTTTCGCTCTCAGGGGTAAGTACCTACCCCGCTTTCGCTTCCAGGCAAGAACAAGTCATACTGCGCGCCTCCTCCTCCAGCAGCCTGGCCGCTGCGGGCGACCCCACGGGTAGCTTGGCATCGTTTGGGTACCAGTTGGCAGCGAGGTGGTCCAAGGCGATGTAGGTTCGTTTGCCCCTCTTGTTCACCTGCTCCACGTGTTCCACGTGCTCCGCCTGCCCCCCCCGCCTCCGCCCTGCGCTTCCCCCTCCTCCCTCGCGCGACGCGGCCGCTGGCGCCAGGCCTCCGCGTTCTTCGACATCTTCCCCACCGCCAGGCCCCCGGGGGAGCCGCGGCGGCGACGAGCCCGGCGGCGGGGAGCAGAGAGGATGGGGTCGGGGCTAGTAGGAAAAGGAAGTGGAGGAGGAGGAGGAGGAGGAGGAGGAGGAGTCACCGCTCCTTTCAGCTGTTACGTGTGTTCTCATGAGCTTCCAGTAGCACTGTTACATTCCTACGCTCAGGATGTGGGAGGAGGAGACGGAGGAGGAGTTGGAAGAGGAGGAGTTGGAGGCGGAGGCGGAGGCGGAGGCTGAGGCGGAGGCGGAGGAGGAGGAGGAGGACGAGGAGGAGGAGTCACCTCTCCTTTCAACTGCTGCTTGTGTTCTCATGAGCTTCCAGTAGCACTGTTACACTCTTACGCTCAGGAGGGGGAGGAGGAGGAGGAGAAGGAGGAGGAGGATGAGGAGGAGGAGGATGAGGAGGAGGAGGACCAGTGTAAACCCAAGAGCCATCAAAGATGTTGGAAAACCCTCTTCAAAGCTCCTTCGTCATAGGCCCATACAATTGTTCATTTCCATTGAGGGATCTGCCTCGTTGGAAGACAACCGTTTGAAGACCCGGAAGCATGCCAAAACATTGTCTCGGGATTCCAACGCCACGGATCAACCTGACTGCTGCGTCTTGACGATCTTGGATCGTGCCAGAAAGCCATTTTTCGGATTCCAACACCGCGAATCAACGTAACTGTTGCACCCGTAAAATCCTGAATCCTTCTCAAACATTTCTGGTACGTTGATCGTGGGAATCCGTGAACAGCTTGCACATTTTATGAATGAATGTGCGCGGCGCTCAGGCGAGAGCCACATTTTGAAAAGGAACTGCCCTCAATCCGTGAAGTTCTTGCAAGTTTTTGGAACGAATGTGCGCGGCGCTCAGGCGAGAGCCACATTTTGCAAGCGGGTTCTCCTCGATCCGTGACGCTCTTGCAAATCATTGGAACGAATGTGCGCGGCGCTGAGGCGAGAGCCACTTTTTGAAAGCTACCCGCCCTCGATCTGCGAATTGGTTGCCAATTTTTGAGCTCCAGAGTCATAAATGGTGAGGAAGTCTCAGGCGAAACGCCAGGCCCGCCCTAAAATCAGGGAGAAGTTAATTATAAGGAAAATTAATGGATGAGGAGGCAGGAGGAGGAGGAGGTGGGTGTGGAGGTGGAGGTGGAGGTGGAGGTGGAGGAGGAGGAGGAGGAGGAGGAGGAGGAGGAGGAGGAGGAGGAGAAGGAGGAGGAGGAGGAGGAG